AAAATAACGTCCTAAGAAGGACGTAAGGATTTAATATCCCCACAGACAAAGATCGGATCATTTCAAACTACAATTTCAGAAGAAGATACCCAAACCCGCAAATTATATCTCTGCTGCACAGATTTTACAAGATTAGAGCCAGACATCGTCTCCTAGCGCCATAATATCCTAGGACTGAACACCATATAACTGGCGCTTGCAACGTAAGGCCTTCCGCCCGCCATTACTGACCCTGTTATCCCAATTACCACACTTGGAACAATACAGCGGAAATGTATCGGTGTTATTTCCCCTGATTACTGCCAATGGCCAGGCAGCGCCGGAAAACGAGATGAACGTTTCATCAGCTCCGGAATCAGATCAATACATCAGCCGCCATTGTGGCTATTGACGCCCCCGACAGTAATCATTAGAATGTTTCTGTCATCAACCGGCCTGTCTATGGATGCAGACATTGTTACAGAACGCGGCCGGCTGTTGGGGTCAAGCGGGCTTGCTTCAATACCCGCCTTCCTCGCACCAATTTAGGGGACACCGTGTATTAGAGTAATGGTAAAGGCAGCATTTCACACACAAAAAGAATGTGCCATGCAATCTGTTTTTGTCTCTGAGGTACCCAAGAGAATTCTCAAGCGCTTTATAATCCTATCCTGATATGCAGAAACTAATCATGAACAGTCTTTTTGGTGCTTTATTAATATCTTACCCCAAACAGGGAAAATCCACATTCACAAGACAGTGTAATATTTCAGGGGGTGGTAGACAAGCTGCATGCAGTCGCGGAACCTAGGCTGCATGCAGTCGTGGGACCTAGGCTGCACTCTCTCGTGGGACGTAGGTGGGTTGGGATTAGGGCCAGTTCTAGATGTTTTGGGGTCGTTAAAAGCATCAGAAAGCCGGGAAACCCAGTCTTACCACCTTCTAAAATTTTGGACTGTCCTGTGACATCATCTGGGTGTAGGATATTAATAAAGCAGGGTTTTTTTAGCTGACCACAAATGATGTCACAGAACAGACCAATATTTTAGAGGGTGGTAAGAAGGGTTTTCCGTGTTTTCTGTGCTTTAGCCTATTTCTTTTAAGGCCAAGGGGTGCTTTATTAATATCCTACCCCAAACAGGGGAAATCCACAGGTCACAGGACAGTCTAATATTTTAGGCGGTGGTAGATAAGCTGCATGCAGCCATTCTTTCATTATTAATGTGTCATTGATAATTAAGGCAGAGACTGTAGGTGCTAGTCAGCGCAGGGCATTTGGTTGACAGAACAAGTCACCGGTGCATTCTCTCTAGTGATCTAGGCCAGTGGTTGATGGTCAACCAACACTCACAGGGTCAACAGAACAATTTTTAGGGATTCATGATGACACTGTTTTTGTTGTTCTCTTCCTTTTCACTTACTCAACATGCAGATTCACTGTCATTACCAGAAGTCCAAACACTTATCAAGGGAGAATACAAGGAATTGTGGAGAGAACAAACCAACAGTCAACATCCACAAGACCCCATCAGCAGACGCAACAGAAAGCAATATAAAATAATTCTCTATCTATGAACAGGACACTGCAGGCTCAACTACCACATGCATAAAATAAAGATTGTAAAGTTCCCACAGTTGGCCTGTCAAACAAGACCACAAACATCTGAGCCCGTTCTGCAGACTTGCCAACTCTACTTACAACTTCACAAAGAAACCTGGTCTCAATAGCAAATATTGCAGAGCAAGCTGTGGGGAACCATGAAGGACCTGCTACTGACATGCGAAACCGAACGCGAAGAAGAAGAATAAGAAGAAGATTTCCTGTTTTACAGTGGCAACAGAGATATAAGGTTCAGCTTCTGGCTCTTCTGGTCACCTGAACCATAGACACATCATGCTATTGTAGAGTTTCTCTAATGTTTTCTTTCCATCTTGCTGTTGATTTACCTAGTGCTCTATGTCCTTCTCCTCCTTTGATGTATGTCGTGTATGGTTTGGCGTCAAGAGGCATTCTCCCTTAGTGCGCAAACCACTTCATCTACTGTCTCTGCATGTAATTCAGAACTGGTTCTATGTCAACTTTTTCTCTTGTGACTTTACTTCCGATTATATCTCTTCTAGTCACTCCTGGAGCCCTTCTCAGACATCTCATATCTGGGGTTGCTAATTTTCTTTTATGTTTGTTGTAAGTGTCTGGCACTGGTAGCAGAGAGTGAGAATGACATGTTTAACAAAGCAAAACAAAAACCTCAACTTAGAATGCAATCCTTTTTGTGATTCTAAAATTTACAAATTATAAGTTCTTCAGTATCACTATTAAAAATGAGTTATCTGTGACAGACCTTTGAATACAAGAGAGGTAAGTAATGTTAGCTAATTAGAACATCTTCTTCTTTGAGTTCACCGGCCATGAACTCCAGCGGAAACTCTTTGCTGTTCATCCGTTTGGATTTTGGCTTTGTGCTAGGGCCCGAGTTTTGCATGAAGTGCGGTGAGTGGCCGATGATCAACACTTAGAGGACAGGCAAGATGGACATACAGTTAGCTTATTTGTGTGCAACTTGTTGTTCCCTGCCTCTGCGGCAGATGTAATCCGAGCCCCTTTAAAATGTGTAAGATGGCTAAGCGTCCCTCTCCCAATGTGTTACCTGTGTCTGCGCTTTTTCAGTGAGCTGCTAGGACCAAAACTTCAACTGTTGTCTTTGCTCGCAAGCGTGTCAACAATCAACTAATTAATGCGTTGATGATGATTATAAGAGACTGTTGATTCCATACTGCTCAAAACAAACACCTTCATAACTTATAAGGGCAGTGTCAGGTTTCAGTATGATCTAAATAAACTACAGCTAAGGTCTTCACAATCTGCAGTGGTCTGAAAATAGAATTTGTTCCCCCCACAAATGCAATTTTCTTTTAATATTTTATAAAGTTTTATTTTAATATATTTTAAATGCAACTTCCTTTTAATACATTTTAAACGCTGTTTTATTTTAATGTATATTAAACACAATTGTCTTTTAATTTACTTTAAATTGTTTTTCCCAAGACATTTTCTAATTTTATTATTATTTTCGATATATTATCTAACACTTTATTTATTATAACCTTTTTAAAATTAATTTTTTTTTAAATGAACAGGCAGCAACTATGTCTCAAGACAACAATGTTCTGCACTTAGCATCATGTATAGATGCCACATTTTACGCTGCATATTTTGCAATGACATAATAAATTATCTTGCATTTCAGAAATCAAAACAAAAACCATTTCAAGTTGCAGTTAAGAGCTTTTTAAATTACTATATATTACAGCTTTATGAGTTTAGCTAGTGTAATTTACAATGGTGGGGGCCTCAGGACTTTATTTAGTTTAGGGCCTCCTGCTTATAAGCTTTGAACACAAAGAGCTTATGGACGCAGCATTAAACTTACACACACTAAAAACCATCACAGTCTGCGGTGAATAGTGCATTGGTGAGTGGCCGATGATCAACACTTAGAGGACAGGCAAGATGGACATACAGTTAGAACGCTACTGTTATCATCCGAATTTGAATTTTGTACCTGGCTGTGGAAGATGGGGATGGAGCGCTTATGGGATTGTACTAACTGTTGTGTTATTGGTTCTTGACTCAACACAATATGCAATTAACAGTAGTAAAACAGAATCTATAGCGGTAGAAACAGACAACCATCTTGACAGGCAAGAGTGTCAACAAAGAATATAATATGATGAAAGAGCTTATTCCATAATGCTCAATACAAGTCATTAATTTCTAATATAAGTTTTTCTGCAAAAAAGTGAAGGGTCACAAGACGTGACTAACAGTAGTTCCTCTTCTTCTGTATTCGACCACAAAAATGCAGTTGGCAGAGGTTGTGCTGTGGTTTACAGCTAGGCTACAATTTCTGCACCTTTCAGCCAAACACATCTGATTTCAGCAAACAATTAGTCGTACTTTATGTTATGCTTTTCAAGAAGCAGTGAGTTTATTCCCTCCACTTTTTTCTTTTAAAAAAAAGGCCCGGTTTCCACGCCTTTAGGCGTATTAGGCATTCAGATCTATATTTCGCTAGATTTATTTTTAACAGACTACTAAGCAGATGATGTGGTCAACACGTTGGCCACCTTTACTTTCCAGGATTTTACCTGTTACCCACTCAAGGCTGGGTCAACCTGACAACCAAGGTCATTTTTTTTTTAAACACTTCCAAAATAGGACCCCCAGAACCTACAGAGAAAACTAAGAGTAGTAAAAACGTAGACATATGCCGAGAGCCAGGGATGTAAGTGTGAACATCTAACTATATTTGATTATGTCAGCACCGCTCTTGGATTCTCATCGTTGTGTATTGATTTCTTGCCCTGTACAGTTACTACAGTGCAAGGCCAAGGCACTGTCTGCCCCGCTCTTCATTTTAATGTGGCTGTACAAGTGATCAACAACTTATTCTGCATTCCCAGCACTTGAGGTCCAATGCTACAGATATCACACAACTCTAACTAAGACTGGCCTGCGAGCCCAACTTTTGACCCTTTGAAAATAAAATCTGTTCGTTCGTTAGTTCCCTGACTGGCCATTTTCTGTCCAGCTGGTAACGCCAAATGTTTCATTTGTAGAACTGCCTGACTTTAATATACCACATGGTTGGTCTACCTTGCAATCTACTCCAGTTCAACTCTTCTGTGTACATAGTTTTTATCTCTCTATTATTTGCTATTCTCTCTATTTGGCCCTTTCACTGCTGTCTTCTATCCCTCATGATGCTGATGATTTTGATAATTAACGCAGATTACGGAGGAGCAACATCCTAGTCGGTTAGATAGCCAGGGTGCCATTTAAAATCCAGGTATTTAAAGTAAGAAAAGAGACGAGTCTCCGGAAACAGCGAAATATGCCAGGCAATAAATTGTGCAATCTACAGTCTTTGTCTTCTGTTCACATAAAACTTCACCAACAAGTCAGGACTGAGAATTGACAAGAAAAATCAACAAGCATTAAGAAACCACATGAACATTACCTCTGGCTGACAACTTTTTAGTGTTGATAATTTTTGCAGCAAATTCTAATCCAGTAACCTTCTGTACGCATCTCCGGACAATTGAGAAGGCTCCCCTGTGAGAGAGACACATCAGTTAGTAATGTCAGTAAGTGACAATGAATTGAAGTAATATAAACTTTTTACTGAAGTAATATAAACCTTTTACTGAAGTAATATAAACTTTTTACTAAAGTAATATAAACCTTTTACTGAAGTAATATAAACTTTTACTGCAGTAATATAAACTTTTTCCTGAAGTAATATAAACGTTTGACTGAAGTAATAAACATTTTTCAATAAAGTAACCCAAATTTAACTGTTAAAGTAACTTCTTATTTAACATTAAGTTGGTATCTGTGGCTGAAACATTGCAAATTCTTCTTCTTTCGTTCACTTGAAATACAATAGATTATCTATATCTGCAGCAATGTCTCTAGTAATGAGCTTCCTGTCTTGTAATTCAATCAGCGACCCGTAAATTTTGGCTTGCACTGGTGTTTCGCTTAGCCAAATATTTTGCCTTGATATGTTGCAAATGCATTTCATAATTCTGAAACACAAGGTTCGATTCAAATGCAGGCAATCGTATATCAAATACACAGACAGACAGAAAAATAGATATACATACATATATAGACTTCCACATACACAGACATCTGTACACATAAACGCACACACTCACATATACATGCAAACAAACTGATACAGGGAAACCAGAGTAACTAGCAACTGGTGCCATTAGTAAACTAATAAGGGGTTTCCATCAAAGTTGGAGTGCAACTGCATGAGAGGCAAAGAACCAACAGTCAGCACACAAATAATTATGATCTGTAAAACAGATGTAAATACAAAACTCAAGTTCTTGAACAAAACTGCTAAAGTCCAGAAGTGGACAAAGAAACTAAAACTTTCTGCCTGCAGTAACCCGTTTGCTATGAAGTTGAAACTGTGATTACTGACTGCAAAGAAGAAGAAGAAGAAACAGACTGAATTTTTAAAAATACACACAAAAATTAAACCTCCAACTAAATTATCTATTTCCCATTTCAATACCTATTTTGTGATTCTGTGATTCTCCATTTCCTCCTCACAATGCACCCAACACATTGCCATTTTATTTTTTCTTATCTTTGTTGATACAAGCCGTTGTCCAGACATTTATATTTCTTCACTTCCCTTAATTTCATTCCATTTAATATTCCTTAATTTCCATACATTTTAGTTTTCAAAGTACTCTATACAAAAAAATGTATTACCTCAGAGCCTAGAAACGACAATTAAATGTAGACATGTATATGTAACTAGCACCAGGATGTGGTCTGTTTGTAACAAACTGTGGTCTATTTGTAACAAACTGTGGTCTATTTGTAACAAACTGTGGTCTATTTGTAACAAACTGTGGTCTATTTGTAACAAACTGTGGTCTATTTGTAACAAACTGTGGTCTATTTGTAACAAACTGTGGTCTATTTGTAACAAACTGTGGTCTATTTGTAACAAAATGTGGTCTATTTGTAAAAAACTGTGGTCTATTTGTAAAAAAACTGTGGTCTATTTGTAACAAACTGTGGTCTATTTGTAACAAACTGTGGTCTATTTGTAACAAACTGTGTCTATTTGTAACAAACTGTGGTCTTTTTGTAACAAACTGGTCTATTTGTAACAAACTGTGGTCTATTTGTAACAAACTGTGGTCTATTTGTAACAAACTGTGGTCTTTTTGTAACAAACTGTGGTCTATCTGTAACAAACTGTGATCTATCTGTAACAAACTGTGGTCTATTTGTAACAAACTGTGGTCTATTTGTAACAAACTGCGGTCTATTTGTAACAAACTGTGGTCTATTTGTAAAAAACTGTGGTCTATTTGTAACAAAATGTGGTCTATTTGTAAAAAAACTGTGGTCTATTTGTAAAAAAAACTTTGGTCTATTTGTAACAAACTGTGGTCTATTTGTAAAAAACTGTGGTCTATTTGTAACAAACTGTGTCTATTTGCAACAAACTGTGTCTGTTTGTAACAAACTGTGGTCTATTTGTAACAAACTGTGGTCTATTTGTAACAAACTGTGGTCTATCTGTAACAAACTGTGGTCTCTTTGTAACAAACTGTGGTCTATTTGTAACAAACTGAGGTCTATTTGTAACAAACTGTGGTCTATTTGTAACAAACTGTGGTCTACTAGTCCACATGTAAGAACAACCTGTAGAACATCTGCTAGCCAAGGCTAAGGGGCTAGTCTACCTTTTCATAATGTTAAGTGTCCAGGTCGTATTAACTTGTCCTAGGATAAGAAAGCGGACCACAACACTTAGAAAAGACCAGCAATAGGAGAAGGTCTATGCAACTATTAGGAGGAGATAAACAGTGCTTCTTGGTAATGTGTGTAGAAGAGAAGTAAGTGCTAGAGAACAATGTGACAATTGGAAAGAGTAATAGTAGAAGAGACAAGAGGGAAATGGAGAGAAATTATGCTGAATAGTCTAAGCTAGTTTCAGTGAGAAGTATCAGAAACAGAAATTTGATCCAGAGTACCAAGGGCTGTGATCACACACAACATCATCCAACATTACCCCCAATATCATCTAATATTACATCCAACATTACTCCCAATATCATCCAATATTTCGCTGGAGATTACATACAACATCATCCAACATTACACTCAACTACATCCAATGTTACATCCAACATTACACCTAATAGCATACAACCCTACACAAAATTTTTCAACAAACATTACATATAACATCATACAAAACTACATAAAACTTTTCAGCAAACATTACACTCAACATCATTCAACATTAAACCTAACATCACACTGAACATTACACCCAGCATCATCCAACATCACGCACAACACCATGCCGACATAGCTGGTAAAACTATAAATCTAACAAATTTTGAAAACCGGAATTGTAACAGTTCTCACCTGTGTCAGGTGTTACCTACACACCTGCTATCAGGTGCTATCGGTTATCAGCCCCACACAGGTCAGGTGATATCATGAAATAACTCGTGATTGTATTTTTCAATGACCTCCTTTTTCAGTTAAATGGTCTCCCATTGTGCAAATAGCTAAAGGCTGTCCTATCATAAAATCTGCTTCTTCTGTGCTTGCGTTTAAAACGGCATTGGCATGCTGTATTGTGGTTAACAGCAAGGCAGCGATATTTTTATCTTTCGGTCCAAGACATCAGATTTCAATTATTCCTTTACCTGTGTGTTCTCGTGGCCCTATTGTGGGGAAAAATAGCCAAACTGCCATCAGAACAGGCATGTCATAAGAGTCAACTAAATGGGAGCTTACTCCAAAGTCGGAGTGCATCTGTCTGAGTGGCAAGGAAAAACCAACTGCACATAAAGAAAAGCCAGTAAAACAGATGTGCATGCTAAACTCAGGCCCTGGCAAAAAGCCAACTGAACAAATAACCTAGACTTTTCGCCACAGCTTTCAGCCAGTGAACAAAGAAGAAGAAGAAGAAGAAGACTTTAATTAGCCTCTGTACATGACATTTTATTCAGGAGCAGGGGCCATGACCTATTTTTTAGCGTTACTAGAGTGACAAGGTTAACAACAGACATGGGGGAGGAGGTGGGAGGGGGGAATCATGCAGGGAAATGTGAGCATGACATTTTTTGCAGCTCAAATTTAGGACTTCCTATATTATCAATCAAGATAAGATACAATAAATGACAATATCAAGAGGGTGAAATGATTTTTTTTTTAACTGGCCACAAACAAAAAGATTGAAGTCAAGAGAATGGAAACATACAAGTGCTAGGGTACATACTTCAACTGCTCTAACATACTAAAAGATGAAAATCAAAATACAATCTGGAAATAAAGTATACTAGGCCCTATATCTGTTAAAATCAAACACTATTTCATAACACCAAAATTACAATGCATAAAACAACTGATTAGACTAACTGTTTTATATGATTCTGAAATCCAGAGTACAATTTAACACGTGACTACAAACAATTTAGAAAGAGTGACGAATCTTTGGGCCCATCAAAGATGGAAACAGTGGAGAAGAAAGATGTAGAAGCACCAATAGAATGTATCATGTTTAAATCACTACTAATTACTGGCATGATGACTGCAATGGTTGGGAAGTATTGATAGAATGGCAGACAACAGAGACCATCTACAGGGAGACTACAAATACTTCTTAATTTCAACCCGCATTAACCCATTCAGGCCCATTTGTTACTTTCTTACGCCTTCTGTAGCAAGCTGGTTTTATAAATACCCAGATATTTTTCAGTGATAGTAACGAGGAGCTGAGTTGATTCAAGAACCGACATAACAGCATTTGGAGCATTACCACAAACGCTCTGTCCCCATCCTCAGCAGCCACTGAAGAGATCCAACACTAATGGTGCCAGTAGCATTCTGATTATACATCCATATCGATTTTCCTGTGAGCGTCAAATACTGGCCAGATCCCTTCGTCAATCCCCACTGCATCATTCTTACCAGACTGGTGATCCATTTGCTCCTCCGAATTGTACACATTCTCCCACTAGACTCTAACCACATCTGCCTTATCATGTATCAATATTCCACCAAGTTGTACAGAGCCAGCCAGTCTGTCTCTCTGTTCATTTCCCAACACACCGGCATTCCCAGAGAAAAGATCTAGACAATGCTCCTCAATCGTGACCTCCGAAGAGCAGCATGCACTCTGCATGAAGAATGACTGTCCTAAACTTCCTCTGCGTGCTTTCTAAGTCAGTTACAAAGTAAGAGCAACAATTTCTTTAAATTTAAAAAGTTATATTCTGCAGCCCCGAGAAAATGAAATCTAGTCATTTCCAGCTGTGACACAGACCCACAAATGCTGATATATCGACTTGCCTGCAGTAACCTGTTCTCGAAAAGTGTATGTAAATTACTTCGGTTCTATGTGTGTCTGCATAGGTTCATTGGGTCATAATATGAATGTAGTAACTAAAACTAAAAATAGCATTGGGGGGGGGGGGGGGTCCTTGTGATCCAATGACTTTTTGTTAAAAATATGCCAGATCTATATAACGAAACAAATGCTCTAACAGGGTCTCAGCGATGTTACTTGCGGACCTGTTTCTGTGACTATGCCTCACCGCCAACCGTATACCACGCGCCGCTAGGCGCGGCACGCATAAGGGCTAAACTAGATGGCTGGGACTCATGAGCAGCAGCTACCACACCTCCTGCAACTTCCTCCAATGACTTTGCTGGTGAGTCCCAGGCACCTAGTTTAGCCCCCCATCCGCGCCGCGCGTAGCGGCGCAGGGGATACGCTCGGCGGTGAGTTTAATCGCGTTTTGCGCATGCTATTATCGTCTGCAGAAACGCTTGAAATTGTCAACGGTCGCTATTATAGTCTGCAATGTTGCGTCTCTTGAAATTGTCAAGTAATCCTAGTTTTGTCGCGATTTGTTCCTTGGCAGAAAGTAAACATTTTAAATATGCCCGAGCCCTGTAAGGATATTTTATGGCCGCCACATATCGGGTTGAAGTTCGGAGGAGAGCCCAAGTTACTGTCAAATTGTCCTGTATGTCTCAGTGATTGAATCACCTGATACTTGTTATTTTTTTAGGCTTCAGGGTATGTATCCCATTAAATGCTTCATCTTGTTCGTGTTTACGTATTACCCCTGTATATATCTTTATACATGGGAGAGGGGGGATGTTGATAATTCTATTTAAATCTTAATTTATTTGTGACCAATGTAATATTGTGATTTTGTTTCCATTATATTTAAAACATTAACCAGCAAAATCTAAACATTTCTCTAAACAAACACTAGAATTCACTTGTTTAAAGAGGGGTTATGTTGTTGGCAGTAAGACTGTTTGAACAAGAAAACCGAATCAATACGCCATACACAGTCTGACAATCAAAGAATTGTGCAAACAAACAAACTTCAGTCCCGGCTCTAGATGTTGTAAGGGAAATAATTAACAAGACATCACAGAAGGACGACCAGACGATACTCAGCGCCGCCAAAGTAAAGTTCTACCTTATCTACAGGCGTTTTTACATTATTTATTGATTTTTTCGTTAAAATATATATTAAACTTGAATCTGTTAAATTAATGACAAATAACAAGCCAACTGAATCAGACGAATCCAATTCCAAGGCTCGAGTAAGTAGTAAAAATTAAATTACTATCCGAGGAGTGTACCGAGAGCTTCATAAAATTCATGACCGCATAACATAATATTGCGCAAAATTTAAACATAAATATAAACTTGAAGGTACAGTTTCTATTTCTGCTAACATGGAGGTGCGACTTACTTTCCTAACTCCTCCTTGAGTTCGTAAGTATCGCTGAACTTGGCGGTTGTTGTAGCCGCCATATTTATTGGTAAATGACTTCAATGGCTCGCTCTCGGAATATCTCGCCGGCTGCAGGGCAGAAACGAGAGCTGTCGGCGGGTCATGTCTTCTGCCGGATCAATATCTATCTCTATCTCTCTCTCTCTTGTTCTCTCTGTCACCTGGATATGCTCTCTCTCTCTCTCTCTCTCTCTCTCTCTCTCTCTCTCTCTCTCTCTCTCTCATTTTTGCAGTGATCTGTTCTTTCCCTCTTTCTCTGTCGCAGGGATCTGTTTTCTCTCTTTCTTTCTCTGTACTGTAGCAGAAATCTGTCTCTCTCTCTCTCTCTCTTCCCCTGTCGCATGATTTGTTTCTTTCTTTCTCTCTCTCTCTCTCTCTCTCTCTCTCTCTGTGTGTCGCGGGAATCTGTTTCTCTCTCTCTCTCTCTGTTTCTCTCTCTCTCTCTCTCTCTCTCTCTCTCTCTCTCTCTCTCTCTCTCCCTGTTGTTTTAGATATCTGTTCTTTATCTCTCTCTCTCTCTCATTTTTGCAGTGATCTGTTCTTTCCCTCTTTCTCTGTCGCAGAGATCTGTTTTCTCTCTTTTTCTCTGTACTGTAGCAGAAATCTCTCTCTCTCTCTCTCTCTCTCTTCCCCTGTCGCATGATTTGTTTCTCTCTCTCTCTCTCTCTCTCTCTCTCTCTCTCTCTCTCTGTGTGTGTGTCGCGGGAATCTGTTTCTCTCTCTCTCTCTCTCTCTCTCTCTCTCTCTCTCTCTCTCTCTCTCTCTCTCTCTCTGTGTCGCGGGAATCTGTTTCTCTCTCTCTCTCTCTCTCTCTCTCTCTCTCTCTCCCTGTTGTTTTAGATATCTGTTCTTTATCTCTCTCTCCTTGTTGCAGGGATCTTTTCTTTCTCTCTCCTTGTTGTGGGGATCTGTTCTCTCTCTCTCCTTGTTGTAGGGATCTGTTCTTTCCCTCTCTCTCTCTCCTTGTTGCAGGGATCTGTTCTTTTCTCTTTCTCTCTCTTTCTCTGTCGCATGTATTTGTTGTCTCTCTTTCTCTGTAGCAGTGATCTGTTTCCCTCTCCCCCTGTCGCAGGATCTGTTTCTCTCTCTCCTTGTTGCAGAGATCTGTTCTTTCTCTCTCTCTCTCTCTCTCTCTCTCTCTCTCTCTCTCTTCTAGTCACAGTGTTCTGTTCTTTCTCTATGTCTCTATATGTCTCTCTCTCCGTGCAGGGATCTGTTCTCTTTCTGTCTCCCTCTGTAACAGGGATCTGTTCTCTCTCTCTCTCTCTCTCTCTCTCTCTCTCTCTCTCTCTCTCGTTCTCACTCTCTGTGTCTCTGTCTATAGCAGGGATCTGTTCACACTCTCTGTCACATGAATCTGTTCTCTCTCTATATCTGTATATGAAGCAGGGATCTGTTCTCTCTATGTCTCTCTTTGTAGCAGGGATCTGTTCTCTCTCTATGACTCTCTCTTTACAAGGAAACTGTTCTCTCTCTGTGTCTCTCTTTCTCTGTCACAGGGATCTGTTCTCTCTCTATGTCTGTCTCTGTCACAGAAATCTGTTCTCTTTCTATGTCTCTCTCTGCAGCAGGAGTCTGTTATCTCTCTATGTCTCTCTCTGTCACATAGATCTGTTCTCTCTCTCTGTCACAGAGATCTGTTCTCTCCCTCTCTCTCTCTATGTCTCTCTCTTTCACAGGGATCTGTTCTCTCTCTCTCTCTATGTCTCTCTCTCTGTCACGTGGATCTGTTCTCTCTATGTCTCTCTCTGTAGCATGGTTCTTTTTCTCTCGTCTCTCTCTCTCTCTCTCTCTCTGTAGCAGGAATCTGTTACCTCTCTGTCTCTCTCTGTCACAGAGATCTATTCTCTCTCTATGTCTCTCTCTCTCTCTGTCACAGAGATATGTATCTGTCTCTGTCTGTAGCATCGATCTGTTCTCTCTCTGTGTGTGTCTCTCTCTCTGTATCAGGAATATGCTCTCTCTCTCTCTCTCTATGTCTCTCTCTCTGTCACAGAGATCTGTTCTCTCTGTCACACCTCGTAGCAGGGATCTGTTCTCTCTCTATGTCTCTCTCTCTCTGTCACAGAGATCTGTTCTCTCTCTATGCCTTTCTCTCTCTCTCTATAGCAGGAATCTGTTCTCTCTCTATATGTCTCTCTCTGTCACAGAGATCTGTTCTCTCTGTCTGTCTCTCTCTCTGTAGCAGGAATCTGTTCTCTCTCTATGTCTTTCTCTGTAGCAGGAATCTTTTTCTCTGTATGTCTCTCTCTCTCTGTAGCAGGGATCTTTTTCTTTGTATGTCTTTCTCTGTAGCAGGGATCTATTCTCTCTATGTCTTTCTATGTAACAGCGACCTGTTCTCTATGTCTCTATCTGTAGCAGGGATCTGTTTTCTCTCTATGTCTCTCTCTGTAACAGGGATATTTTTCTGTCTGTTTTCCCCCTTCCGTCGCGGGGATCTCTCTCTCTCTCTCTCTCTCTCTCTCTCTCTCTCTCTCTATCTATCTATCTATCTATCTATCTATCTATCTCTCTCTCTCTCTCTCTCTCAGCTTTGTTTACATCAAAGTTCTCTCTCCCTCTTTCTCTTGCTGCTTGTAGCAGGCATCATATGCCTTTCTCTCTATTTCTCTCCCCTCCTTCTCTTTCCTCTTGTCTCAGGCATCACATCCCCCTCCCCCACCCCTAACTGGTGCAGACTCCACGGACTGTGCCGGGTAGGACTTTTGTTTTCCCCGATTATACATATATCTCCTTCACTTTCCGAGTGTTGAACCCTGGTTTTCAAAAATCAAATCCAGATCTCTATCTAGAAACAGCAAAACCTAAAAAGCTAATTCAACCTACTGCAGCACAGGAGCTGCCAAAGTGTAGTGGAAAGACCCTCGCCTGTGGGCCCTAAGGGTGGCAGGATCAAATCCGAATCGGGTCTTCAAAAATGACCTTGGCTCCCAGGCTGACCCAGCCTGAAATGGTTACCCAGGGGGTCATGGGAAGTAAAAGCGGCCGGTGTGACGTTGACCACAACACCCATCGACGGGTCTATAAAATATGAGTCTATAAACATATGCCACGTGCGCTACTGGCATCAAATAAATGCCTGTTGCTTTACTTGACTTGCCAGACTGGGGCCACACGACTGTTACACTGTAACCTACTGTCCCATGTGTGGGGGTTGGGGGTAACTATTATCTAGCTTGTATTTGCTCAACTCTCCGTCTGGCTTACAGACCCCCCACCCCCCCCCCCTTTTTAAAATTATTTTTATTCATTTATAATTCTGTGGGGGGGGGGGGGGGGGGGGGGGACGGGGGCGGAGGAGTGATTTGAACCCAAAATTTACTCGCTGGTAGGCGAACGGCTAGCCACTATGCCACAAAATCTCCCAATATTAAATGTAAAAAAATTTAGTAAAAATATAGTACTCTGGAAGAAAAATAATCAAATTTCGTATCGATTTTCTGTGGAATATTGACGGGAGTTGGGGATGGAAAAAGGATGGGGGGGGGGGGGGGGAACAGGGAATTAAATCTTAGCGTAAGGGAATCAAAAGAGAAAAATACAGTTATCTTCCTTAACTCATGCTAATATTATTAGTGTTATCCCACTTGTTTCAGCCAACGGCCAACTTCCGCGAAATGGCAAGCCGCCCAACTAGTGCGTCGCACAGAGCACGAACTCGGTAGCTGCAGCGACGATCCCTATAATTCTCCATAAAACTGCACTCGTGAAGTTGATGGCGGGTCCGCAAAATAAAGCCACGACATTTAGAGCGAGAAAAAAAAACGGCTAGACTTCTTGACACAAAGCACGAAACACGGTAGCTTCAGCGACGACCCCGAATGATCTTCATAACACCAACACCTGCGAACTCAAGACCGAGACCAAACCTGCCACCTCCAGAGGGCGAGGCAAAGCGACATAGTTACTTCACCACGAAAGCCCTTTTTTTGACTCAACACAGGAGCTAGACAAACCGATTGGGGCAGTGTCTCTTAGCAAACGTGTTATATAACTGAACCAAATAAGGCTTTGCTGTAAAATTTTACACTTATCCGATTACAAAACGTTTTACACTAAATAACACCAACGATTGCATTTCATGTTTGTTTTCTCACACCAGTCATATTTTAAGAAGAAATAACATAAATAAAATGCTGTTTTCATTTTATTCTAAAAGGAATACTCGTCAGGCAGAAATAAAGGAAGTACGATGCTTGAATACTTTTCCAACAACAATAATAAAAACAATTCTATAATGGTCAAGCGACAATAATGTTTACCCAGAAGTAGCAGTAACAAAACTCTGCAACTCTGGTCTGTCTATTACTGAATACAGTTAAAGTTAGTTGTGTATACTTTACAGGACCTTGCAGAACCAACTCCAACACTGTGTTGGTTGTTGTGATTTTTCAAGGCAAATGGTACGTTCGGTAGTTTGCCACTGCTTCCTGAACGGTGAGCTGTCGGTACCACTGTCGAAACCAGTGCAAGAACAATCGTCTGCAGCTGAGATGGAACCCGACATCCTGGCATTACGAAGCACATTCGCAACACCTAAGCCACGAACGACGACCTATGTATACAGTAAACATTCTAATTAACGGACTGAAGATTGACTGGTATATATTGAAGTCGAAAGGGATTTAAATGTAAGTGAATCCACGAGGCTGTGTAATGTATTATACTTTAAGTCTGCCACCCTGGTGGTAATGTTCACATCCATATTGTTTAAAATCTTATCTAAGTGCTCAGATCAATAGCATTTATAAAACTTAACAGCGATTAACTAATCCAGGTGACGGTAAGTTACATGGTGACCGTTTGGTGCCTTAATCAGCTTAAGCTGATCTCGGATATGGCGAATTTCCGTTGTGAAGAACAATTTTTATTAATTTTTATCCTTGGCAATTGTTCTTGCTTGAACTTTTATCTGGATAAGAGGTTTTTCTGATAAGAACCATTTCTAGGGTCCCCGGTGAATTCTCCTGATCAGATCTGTACTGTATAGCTGCTCTGTGTGTTTAACGGTTTTATA